TGTAATATTTTCATAAAGCTTCTTTTAATTTAAGACTACATCTCTTCGCGCAGTTTCTTCAAATGTATTTACTTGTTACTGGTCTGCTTGCTAGTCTAGTTTATATTATTTATTGCCATAAATCTGTTCGCTTATAAGGAATTTAGCGCGTGACGCATTAAGCGCAGTACACGAGTGGGTCTATCTATTTTTTGTTATCATTAGTTGACGTGGAATAACACTCTTGAGTAGTGCTTCCAAAAAAAATAAATTGTGTGAAAAATTACGTTGATTACATGTAATAACGGGCGGCCGGAGCCGTTTGATGGCCCCTGCCACAGATTGGCATCATTAGCCGCAATGATACTGACCTAAAAGAGTAATTTTGTTTTCTTTGCTACTCTTTGTTTGATGTTCTGCTTTCTAAAGCGTTTCATGTTGTTTATGGTCGACAGCTTGATTTTATGCACTATTGTTGGAAATTATAAGAACGGAATGTTATGTAATGTATTCGTGTACATGCTCATTTAAAAGAATAAGAGCTGAGTTTCTTGTCAGCTCTTCTTAGGTCGAAAGCACTCCGAATTGGCCGTAGATTTGATATATCATAAGAGTGTAATAGATTTTGAGTTTGGTTTAAAACTGTAGATTATGAATCAACATCTACAACGAGAGACTTCTTAATTTTATTTTATTTTATCATTATCATGATAATCAATTATTGTTGGGCTTCTGGATTCTTTTATTATAAGAATACGTTTGAACTCACTATTGCCATGCCGGCCGGATTGTTTCGTAAACTAATTTATATCGACGTCATATTCTGGCTCCTGGTCATGTTTTTGTCTCATTGTCATCATCATCATCATCATCATCCTCATCATAATCATCAGCCCACTTCATTATTAATAATCAATTTATTAAAATTATTATTGAAGAAAAAGTAGAATGTAAAAGGGGTAGTGGAAAACCAAGGCACGGCTACAAAGCAAATTAAAGACAAAATTGGAGTCGCGTCGTATCAGCCTTTAAAGAGCATGATGGAAGATCGTGGAAAGTGTAAAGAGCTCCACTGTTAAGACCGTGGCTTTTAAGTTATGTATAAATAAAACAAAATGTCTATTATACTAACAATCTAAAGAGATATTCCTAATAAAATCGTGTGTTTTTAATAAAAATGCGAAATAGTATGTTTTTATAGATATGATTATGTATAGGTAAGATGTACCTAATATCTACTTAGCTCAGTTTCCCTGCAAGGCAAATTGTTATGTGTACTTGTTATTTATACCAGTTTTAACAACTGGTAAAAGTTCCCATTATTGTAACAGTATAATAATATATACTGTTATAAGAAAAATACAAAGTTCAAAATACATCAATTTAATTAATGAGCAACTTGGGTAAAGAAAAATAAGCAGCAATTTTGGAAGCAATATTAATATCCGCTGAGGAAATTATTAAATGAGCGCTACAGTTTTAAAAATCAAATATATGCTGGATTCGCGATATAAGACTATATAATTATAACGATAATAATAATAATCTCAGGACAATTCACACAGCGCCATCTAGACCCAAGTTAAGTTAGTTAAAGCTTGTGTTATGGGTACTAGATAACTGATACAAATAAATTGATATTTTTTCCGTAAACACATACATATTACACATAGAAAACACTCAGAGCGATACAAACAATCCTCATGAATACAAATGTGTGTACCGTGCGAGGAATCGAACCATCGGATGTAAAGCCGTCTGCTAAACCGCTAGACCACCGAGGTTATCGAACGATGAAACATGGAAATGGAATGTGACGTGGTTTCAACTAGATTTATACAGTTTTGGCAAGTCCTATATGTAGGATTTCTTCATAATTGCAAATGAATAAGATGGACTTTGTCTACTCAACGATTCTTTCAAAACCGCAACGATTCATTTTGAAAGAATCGTTGTGGATTCATTATTATCATTAGGTAACTAAACAGTATATACTCTTAAATACATAATCATTAGACATATTGTGTACAGTTGTGCTTGTATTTAATTAATATTACTTACATTGGTGACTTATATTTACTTTTAACAATTTGCCCTATAGTATACTCATCGAGTATGACCTATATATATTTCCCAATATATTTTTTGTAACAACTTTACATGATAATACACAATAAAAATATTATTAACTAGCTGTGCCCACGTGAAACTTATAGCCTTTATTCTGATGTATAAGCTATATTATTGTTCAGTTTCATTAAAATCTGTTTAGAAGTATTTGCATGAAAGAGTAACATCCAACCATCCATCATCCTGAAATATTGTGAGTGTGGATGGATCATCATCATCATCATCATCGCAGCCCGGAAGACGTCCACTGCTGGACATAGGCCTCCCCCAAAGATCTCCACGACGATCGGTCCTGCGCTGCTCGCATCCAATGCCTTCCAGCGATCTTGACCAGATCGTCGGTCCACCTTGCTGGAGGCCTTCCCACGCTGCGTCTTCCGGTCCGATACCATCCACTTATCCATGCACACTCACAAAATTTCAGATTTATATTATTATTAAGATACTATTTTTATCTGTCTCAAACACTACACGTGTGACAAAAATTTCTACGAGACATGTTAGCTCCTTAAACCCAAATGCAAACTCAGTCATTTATTCACATATAATCTTCAACTTCCAAGATAATAATATTAGTAAGTTATATTCTTGTTCAAACTAAAATATCACTTGAAGTTGTAACTCAAAAACCTTTGACATTTGAGCTACTGACTCGACAGTGTCGTATCTGGCAATTAAAACGGTTGCAGCCGAACCGCACCCATATGCCTGTATTTAGTTGTTATTTTTTAGTTTAATTAATATTACTTACATTGGTGACTTATATTTGCTTTAAACAATCTGCTCTATATTATACTCATCGAGTATGACATAGGTATTGTAAACGAAGGACTATATATATATGTGGCTGGTAGATATAATTATGCAAACACAAGTTTTAGGAAGCAATAATATAATATTATGTACAAAAGTATAATAGTTAGCAAAACAAGAAGGACAATGTTATATATATTTTTCTATATAAAACAATAGACAAAATACATAAATAATATACAAAGAGGTTCGTCGTGCACAGATATATTTCTCATTATATTTTTTGTAACAAATTTACATGACCTATGATCCGAATAAAAATATCTGTAACTATATATTACTTTCTTTATCTTTATTGTCTAATATTTTTTACAAATACAAATAATTTATGAAGTCCCTGAATTCTGAGGTAGGTATAGAAAATACCTGTGTTTCAGAAGTCAGTGTCCTCTTCCATATTGAGGTGTACTTTAAGTGAGTTTGTTATGATATATTACAATTTAAGTAGGTTAGTGTAATCGTAGGAGTGTGTGTGCGTGTGTGTGTATGTGTGTGTGTAAGTGTGTGTGTGAGAGAGAGTGTGAGTGTATGTGTGTGTGTCTTGAAATATATGCTCTGCTCTGTACTATATATTGTTATAAAGTTTCAATAAAATCCACTTAATCGTTTTTGCCTAAATGAGTATCAGAAAAAACATCCATCCATCCTTCATACTCAGGAACTTCCACGTTTACAATATTAGCAGGATACACTCTTCAAACTAAAATATCACTTGAAGTTGTAACTCAAAAACCTTTGACATTTGAGCTACTGACTCGACATTGGCAATGGTATCTGGCAATTAAAGCGGTTGCACCCAGATGCCTGTCTCTGTTATCAAATACATTAAACTGGTTACTCGCTTCGAACATATACCTATCGTCTTTTTTTTTCATTCGGACATAAAACCCTCTCGAGTGAGATAACGAATAATGTATCGATGCGGCGTCGAATAATTAAACAGACCTCTTTGTAAGTTCCGAATTAAAGAGTTGTTTTGATAAAAACTATTTATCGTACACTATAATTTTGTATTGAAAGGACTAGATTGAATATTAACAACTAGCTACACACCCCTGCTTCGCACGGGTGTACATGTATTATACATATAAACCTTCCTCTTGAATCACTCTATCTATTAAAAAAACTGCTTCTAAATCCGTTGCGTAGTTTTAAAGATTTAAGCATACATAGGGACAGACAGCAACAGCGACTTTATTTTATACTACGTAATGATGATTATGTTCTTTATTTGTACTACGATGGTGGCAATGAAGCATAAGGCTTATTGGATGGTAAATGGTTACCGTAGCCTATAGACGCCTGAAACACTAAGGATATCACGTGTGCGTTGCCGGCCCTTAAGAAACCTTCTAAATTGTATATTTGTATGAATGTATCAATATATGCATCATCAGGTGGTAAATGGTTACTGTAGCCTATAGACGCCTGAAACACTAAGCATATCACGTGCGCGTTGCCGGCCTTTAAGAAACCTTGTAAACTGTATATTTGTATGAATGTAACAATATATGCATCATGACTGGGAGGGTCCCATCCCATCATATTGTTACACTGGACACTACAAACTGAATAAGCACATGACTTAGCTTAACATCAATCTGTAGATTTTACCAAGCAGAAGAGGAAACGCCACTACACATCCTATGTGGTTGTAGCCCACTCATACATAAACGAAACATCTCCTTTGCAAAGTATACACTATATCTCGAGGAGATAAAAACCATCGCTCCTAAGAATATCCTTCAATTCTTGTCCTTCACGGGTAGGTAGCGAACTTTGAATAAGGGCGAGCACAATAGATCTATACAGGTCGCAGTGTAACTGGCCTTAGCATCTAAAAATAACCCAAGGACGCAAAAATAAAAAAAATGAATGTATCAATTGTTGGTGATCCTTAATAAAAGAATAAAAAAAAAGATTTTCTCATAAACGCTTCTTACAAACTTATGAATTAAAGAATCTACCGGGCAACAATGTTTGTGCTTGTACCAACTTTATTTATAATTGAAACTTGTAAATTTCTATACAATTATAATAAAATAGATATGACTGACGTTTTGTATGTTTGTTCGCAGTTTGCGGCGCCGCGGCCCGGTGGGGAGTCATCGTGTTTGCAAGGCCCCGACTGTTTTATGGTGAGTGTTCGAATAGTTTTGTATCGTTAAAAGAAATCCAAGATACGTCTCGCATCTTGCTCTCTCGTAGTAAGTGTGATAAGGATAAATAGATACAGAGTGGTATCGACTATGTGACAGTACAGAATTGATTTTTAAATGATATCACTGAGGCCAATGACCGAATAATCTGGAGTGAAGAATCAAATCAATGATATGAACGATTAATGTTATAAATATGTTGTAATAAAGAACCTTATGCTTATAGAAATAGTGATAAATGCGATAGAAATGAAGAAACTGTTTCAATCAATGATTAAGTATTTAATCCACCTAAATATTAAACTAGTGTCGTTCAAATTGAAGAAATCTTAAATCTGTGCAGTGGCTACAGTCATTTTTATAGAATCCATCTCTTAATAATGTCCAATTTTCTCTCTTAATAGAGTAGTATAGATTTTGCCTGCGATAACCATTAACGCTGGCGGGGCACCAGTGGAGGATGATCAGATAAGCATGATGTCATATCACTTAGTCCATCGTGGTAAATTTACCAGGAATTTATCACGATGATTTCCAGGGTGACCTACGTGGAGGTCAACGTGACATGGCTAGCAATAGTCTTTAGGATAGTATATACTTTGTACAGGATATTGTCTAATTCAGTATAATTCAGATAAATCTTATAAATATTATAAACGCGAAAGTTTGTGACTATGAACGGATATATCTCTTTGACGCAATCACTACTGAACGGATTTTAATAAAACTTTACAGTAATATAACTTATACAGCAGAATAACATACAGCCTATAATTTAAAAGAGTTTATGTAAATTGGGTGACATATGATATGACATGATAAATGTAAAGAAAGTGTAATGCAGACGAAGTTACGCGGCGCAGCTAGTAACGCTATGTTTGTAATAGAAAATTTTATCCTCACTCTCGTAATTGAAATCCAGTGAGCAGTGAAATATAAAATTCATTTTAAATCGTTCGCACATCGTTGAACTTATTCCGTTTGCATTATAAGTTTGCAGCGATCTACCATGTATGATTAAAACAAATTTACTATTTACGTCCAACGGAGTAGCAGAGCACGATACAGTTTATGACAGGAGGTATGTACTTCCTCATAAATTCTCGTGTTACGAGTTGTATGTTCAAACTTTGTTAATCTTTTAAACGTCAACTTTGAAACAAAACTTCAAGTCATTGCAAAGAGAATATAAGATATTAAATAAATATGACAACGTTGCAGTAAAAAGCATTCTATATTTATTATTACTTCTATAACGTATAATGTAAATTACTTAATTATCAATATAGTAGATTTATATGTTATTGTGCCAAGCAGAAGAGGAAACGCCTTTACACATCCCACATGGTTGTAGCCCACTTATTAATAAGCGAAATATCTCCTTTGGAAAGTATACATTATATCTTGAGGAGATAAAAACCATCGCTCCTAAGAATATCTTTCAATTCTTGTCCCTGATGGGCCTAGGTAACAAACTTAGAAAAAGGACAAGCGCAATTGATCTATGTAGGTCGCAGTGCTTCAGGTCACCCCTGACAATAACCCAAAATCCTTAACATAAAAAAAATGTACTGCCAACACAAACAAATATCATTTAAAAAAAGTAAATGGATCTTTTATTGGAATAGGTACATTGTGATGTACTACATCACTAATATATTGTATGAACGATTAACATTATACGATTAACAGCTAAAAATTTGAAGCAATTTAGCAAAAATAAATTCAACAATTGCAATAAAAATAAAGTCACCTATACGGACCTATCAATAGAACAAAATTTAGTATAATAAGTCTATAAAGCAGATATAGTACTTTTGCTGTTTGTAAATATATATTTGTCATTCAGAACAAATGATTTTATAAATACAGACACAAACGAAACCAAACTACACAAAAAAAACAAAAGAACTTCAAACTCTCTTCAACCGGTATATGTAAGTAGTAAAATCAACAAAATATCTTCAAAAGCCAGGATCGGGAGTACAGAACGTTTTGTCAATACTTGGTAATTAATAACTCAGCTCCGAGCCGGTTCTTATAATTATTAAAGCTTACTGAGTCGAGAACGGGCGTCAAGTTAACGTCAACTCCAACTAATGAGTATTCCCAATGACAAATGCTGCATTTGAGTAGCCCCAGTACCCGAAATCGGCTAGAAGTGCCTCATAATTCACGGCTGGTAATTGAGATCGACGGAGGGAATCTGATAAATCCGTTTTAAAGATTATCTTTATTATCCGACGTACTACGGATTATGGTGTATATAATTGTAATAATACATATAAATTATCTTACTAATATAAAGCCGAAGGTTTTTGAGTATGGATGGATATATCGATCAGGGAACAAACATCTGTTTCACGCAAAAACTTCTTTTGAACGGATTTTGATGAAACCTTACAGTAATATAGCTGTAACATGAAAATGTTGGATTTCTACTGAAATAGGACCAAAATGTTGGTGATAGAGTGGACTGTATGTGTGATGTAAATCAAACAATGGATAGGAAATGGTAAATACTTATAATGAAGATACGTGTACAAACGGTTGTAAGGCAAAAAGTCAATAAAAAATATATGACTATTCTATAAAGAAAAGATATTCAAAATCTATAGAAATATAAACATATAAAAATGTGCAGAGTTTGCAGCAACAATAGCATCAGAATAACATATAATCTTTAAATGTTATGTAGGTAAAACCAGGGATTTACATTAATTCTTATATGTATTTAATACATTTAATGCGTATAATTCTATCATAAATCTATAGGTATTTTTTAATTACAATTTACTTACTTTAATGGTTTTGTTAAAAAAATATGTAGTGGTTACTGCAAACAATATTTATCGAATTTATCCACTATAATTAGATACAATGAAAATAGAAATAGATATCATTTACTTACATAAGACAAATCTATTAAAAATGCTAATGCATTTATATTACACTAGCTACCCGTATCGGCTACCCAAGCGTTTACATGTAGTATATAGATAAATATTCCTCTTGAATCACTCTATTGTTGAAAAATGCATTAAAATTCGGTGCGTAATTTAAAAGATTTAAAAGATACGATCAGATGCGACGGCGTTATTGTTTTATACTATGTAAAGATATACACTGGTTTTGAGAACATATTGAATTCTTAATAAGTGGGATTTCCAAAAACTTTCACAATTACGAGGAAAGTACGATGAATGGTCTCAATTTGAATTAGATCGCCTACTTAAGAGTTTCAAAAGGAAAGTTAGGAAATGTCTGCAGGAGTAACAAGTCCGTGTCTCTTCTAGATGTGTCCTCGTTCCATCGAGGCATTCTAACGAGCTTGTCCCAATTCCGAAAGTAATGACAAACGATTGTATCTACCAAGTCGCCACCCGACCACCCGATAACTTTGACTAATTTGACAAAAAAAGTCTCGTTACGTTTGAAGTGTTCGTTCTCGTTCTTTGAGTGTGAAGCTTTGAATTTGTTACCGTCACTGTACTGCCCATTTGTACCTAATGACCCTCTATAATAAATCATGAGTGGCTATGTTTGTGACAAACACATGAAATGCTCGTCCAAATTTTATGGATCTTTTATAATGTCGTTTTGTTTCAGTGTTGGGAGAATTGTGAGCTGCTACAGTCCAACTATCAAGTTTGGGGCGCAGTTTGTGATGAAAAAGATATTTGTGTAAGTTGATTACATTTGTCACTAAACTTTGGCTTTTGATATTTTTTTACATTATATACTACTCTACTTTTACTTATGGTTTCACTTATGCTCACTACATTATCATTACAACTCCATTTTAGCCTAGTAGTTTGAAATGAGCAAATAATTCTTGAAAAGCTGAAACAAATTTGACGACATAATAAACAAACTTACATTTACATTTCTAATATTAGAATATATAAAATTAAACAACGTTTCTTGTTTCTACAGTTCCCGGGCTGCAAAGTTGCGTGTGAATTCCACACGGAAGCAGCAAGAGAAGCGCAGACACAACCAGTCATTCACACCAAAGGCGAGGGTGTGATGAGGGTCAGCGGGGCATTAGCTCGTTGGCCACCACCTGCACCCAGAGCTGCCTCGCGGCCGGCTCCTCTGGTGTACGTTGTGATGCGCCGGGCAGCGGAAGGTCCCTGGAGACAAATAATACAAACTCAAGCACTTGCAACAAGAGTACCTTCTAATAACGAAGGCGCTCTCCTGAGGGTCCTAGTAGTAGATCCTCAAGGCCTCGTGACTATCTACAGTCCAGACGAAACTTGGGTGGCACATGATACAAATACATCAAATCACGATGAACATAAATGGACCTTGAAAGAAATATCTCTTATACACCAAAAAGTTCTTGTAATTGGAGAAATAGCATGGGAACCTAGAATAGCAAGAGGTGTATATCTTGTGACTTGGGAAGTTGATGGTGGAGGTTTAAAAGGAAACCTTTTCACAGACTCAACTCGTGTCACATTGTCTCTGTGGCCTGACACAGTTTACCATATACAAGTGGAATTAGTGTCTCGTACTCCAGGCGTAGACAATGAAAGATCTGAAACTATGACAATAGACACAAGCCGTGCCCAAAGAGTGTCTACTGAAAGTGTTCAAGACGTTCAAGTCAGTGACGGAGATCGCCTAATGTCAGTATTAGTTAGCTCAATGAGAGGAGAAAGAGTTCCGGAAAGAGCTCCAGATTCAGAATTAGTATTAGGCTGCTTATCAGCCATGATTGCTTTTGGACTGGCGGTCCTTGCCGCGATCGTGTGGAGGCGGAGAAGGCGGGGTACGTTTCCAGGTACTAATGTGTACGTAGGATCATCTTCTGTCCTTAAACGGAAGTTGGTAGAGGATTTTGCTCCAGCAGCACATTGCTTCCAACCAGTGCTAACTCCAGAAGCTTCCAATAATGCCACCGCTCGTGATGTGGTTGTGTGACGTCACAGCTTTGATATGCTGTCTGTCGAAGACCGCACCTTCAGTTCCTAAAGATTTTGAAACAATTCTGTATGTGGAAACAAAAACAATCGGACTAAGTGATTTGATTCACATGTGATACTCAATAAATAAAAAAGAACATATGAAACAAACTATTCTAAAGTTTAATTGTGAAAATATTTGTGTTTGTCAGCCTAAAAACTTTTCAGAATATACTTATTGTACATGCTGCTGTAATAAATATGATATTGTGAATTTTTTGTATGTAGACATAGGAGAATTGTAAATTGTGAAACTATTATAAATGTATTTATGAAACACAGTAAGGTTAACACCAGAAAAATTAGCAGTGTAAATATGTTAAGCGAAAAATTACTAAACTGTAATTTTCTAATAAAAATGAAAATTTATTTCTACTACTTGTAAATAAGATGACCCTAATACAAAACGTGAAATCATTTGTATGTTTGATTCCCAGATTATTTGTGAGTTTACCGCGGAATCTTCATAGAAATCATGTTTTAAGATCATTATAAATATTAACTAGAACCTATTTTTACAACTAGTCCATATTATCGTTTAGTTAAATAGTTAATAGATGTAAAACTATTAATAATTTCGGTGAGTATTGCACTCACTCTAGGTAACTTTACGATGTCTTCTTCAGCAATAAATATAGGTATGTATGTATATGTAAATATTCGATGCATTTATTGTAAAAACAGAGGAATTATATTTTTCTTGGACTTCAGTGGATAAACATATATATGAGTGGAAATGTTAATTTTAATTTAATACGTTCTGTTACAGTTGAAATTCAAGTGAAATTTTACAGGAACATCATATGACAATGTTTTGAGTCTCGTAGTTAAATCATTGGAATGTAGTCATATTGTTTAAAGTTGATGTTAGGCTTTAAACATCGTACTTAACTAATAACTTAAGTTTGTCATGTAGAGATACGAGTAAAGCAACTCATTCTGTGTCAAGAAGATGAATGTCACGGATTTTTTTAAACCAAAATCCTTGTAGTGTAAGTTTAGGGGGATTAAATTTATTTATTTTTGTGATTAATAATGTACCTTCACTCGATCTGTAAATAACATTACTTGCTATAAATGAAGCTGAACTTTAACGAGTATAAATAAATATGTCTGCCAAATTAAAATTGTATTTTGATTTCGAAATATTATTCCAACAAACAGCCATTGTTGAATTCCTTCCTTTAGATTCCTTTTCAATAAGCCTGTGGGATGTTTTATACAATCAGCCAAATGTTTTGATACAACAAAAACGAACGATTCTATAATTCAGAAAATATAATCGATTCAATGTGGAACAACGGTTAACGATCTGTCGACACCTCAATGGAAGATATCCAGTTTTTATCTGCATTCACACAAGCCAATGATATCAAAACACGATTTCATACTTTTGTCTAATTTCTTTTTACAATATATACTAGCTATTTCTCGGAAATTCGTCTACACTTTATTTTTTCATTTATAATATTAATAATAATAACCCAGCAAAAAAATCTGAGAAAATAATACATAACAATAATCTAAATATATATAACTCAAAGGTGGCTGATTGAAATATTGATCTATCAACGCACAGCCCAAACCACTGGATGGATCGGGCTGAAATTTGGCATTATGACGTAGTCATCCGCTAAGAAATGATTCTGATTAATTCTACCCCCAAAGGGGATAAAATACGGGATGAAAGTTTGTAGGAAACTTTGTCAATTTTTAACCGACCGGGCTGAGACTTTGCTTGCATAAAGTTACTATGACGTAGGCATTCCCTAAGAAAGGTTTTTAATAACTTCCACCCCTAGTAAATGTACTGGACAAACCAGAAATCTATGCAAATAAATAAAATTTAGGTGTCTGCCTGTTATTTCAAATTATCAGATTTTAACAGACGCATATGAAAGACGGAACAGACGCAACTTACACATAAAAAAATATTTTATAAAATTCTAGTCTATCTGTCTCTTATGTTTTTGCTAATTTCTGTAATAGTTGGACCGATTTTGACGGGACTTTCACTCGCGAATAGCTATTATTATAAGGAGTGATTTGTTATTTGTCGATACTTACTACTATTTTGAAAAAGTAAAATTCCACGCGGACGATGTCACGGGTAATAACTAGTTGTAAATAAAATACACGGGACTGATTTTGACACATGAATAGACGTGACTGAAAGCAATAATTCGAAGCAAAGCCTTTAAACAAATATTAACTCAGAGATTTAACATTAAAAGGATACCGTTGGCCGTCCCGTCATTTGGGTCTGTCCCGGACGCCACCATTGTCTGAGGATTAACGTCAACGAATTTGTTGTCAACAAACGCCTGATCAAACAAAAAGATTTGTGCGTCACAGTACCCCAAAACGACCCTTCAGCGCGATCATTGCTGTCAACCCGACCATACAAGCTTAAATACTTAGCCATTTCTTCAAACATTAGTAATGTTAGATTTATATACATAAATAGTATAAAATATTTAATAATGAAAAGCACAATAATTAAACCAGATAAAGAAGCCATTTTGTCGTTTTCGATTTTAGTTTTCCCGCGCAAACATAATGCGCCACAGATACACAATATTGCACGGCGCGCAGTCGCAGTAGGATGATGAGCGAGTCATAGCTGTATGCGCCATATTATACTACTATGAGTATTAAATAACTAATAAAAAAAAAGGTTTATTTATTCGTTTCAAATACACAAATATTATAAAGTTGATTGTACATCCGACCCCGCACTGGGCGAATCTGTATCGCAGATACAGACTGTATCGAGTCCACAAAAGAATTTCTAGATGTTATTAACTATTACAGATCTGCGAGTAGAGTAGATTTGACATATCAGACGAATGAAGATATTTTAGTTTGATTCCATAAGAACATTCCAGATTAATTGTAGATTACATAAAATAAAAAGAGAAACTACTAGAACATAGTGTGTATATAGTATTTTATTATAATAAAAGTAAATTGCAGACATAAATAGTAAACAATAGTATAAAATAATTAATAATGAAGAGCACAACAATTAATCTAGTATGTCTGCAAAAGAAGCCATTTTGTCGTTTTCTAGTTTTCCCGCGCAAACGTAATGTGCCACAGATACACAATATTGCACGGCACGCAAGTAGGATGATGAGCGAGTCATAGCTGTATGCGACATGTTAATACTACTATGTAATATTATGTTATCTGTGATACTACTACAAGTATTAACAAATTCAAATTCAAATTCAAAATATCTTTATTCATGTAGGTCTATTACAGACTCTTATGATATGTCAAATCTATCGTCAGTTCGGAATGATTTCGAGATGAAATGAAGAATAAACTACGTCATAGAAAATCAAAGCGCAGAAGAGATAATAACAAAGATGAGTGCGGAGACGATAAAAAAACTTCTAAAGTAGGTAATCGTAAATTTAGTGCTATCTTTTTAAGAGCCAATTACAGAGTTTCGGTTTTATTAAATTGAGAAATCCATTAAGCTAATCGCCAAGTTGGGAGCAACCGACGTGACGGTTATGAAAAGGTTATTCGAGAATGCAAATGCTAAGGCGTCTTAATGTAAATTACGTGTAAATGTAGCGACATTTTGAACTACATTCATGGATCGCCATAACTCACGTCCACAGATAAGATTGTGGGCTTTTTGTTTCGACTCTGTTAATCTGGTTTCTATTTTGTAATCACAACGACGTCCATGACGGCAATGACGGCCTCGGTGGTCTAGCTGTGTAGCACACCGGTCGCTGGTTCAATTCCTCGCACGGCACAAACATTTGTTTCATGAGTATGACTGGTTGTGTCGTTCTGAGTGTTTTCTATGTATAATATGTATGTATTTATTATTATATTTATCTAGTGTCTATAACACAAGCTTTAGCTAGCTTAACTTGGGTCTAGATAGGCACTGTGTGAATTGTCCTGAGATTATTATTATTTATACTATTATTGCATTCTCTCAGCTTCTGCTGGTTTTTTACCACGCTTACAGCATCATTATTATTGTTATTAACAAGTTCACCAGTGGATTCGGAATTGTTAACTCGAAATCTGTTACGTTTACTTTGGGAATCTATGATTGTGGGAGCATACGGTCATTTATTTTAGTTACCCATTTTATTCTTGGCCCGCGGTTCTAGTATAAAGCATAGCCTCATAAATAACGAGGAAAATAGAAGGTGAATGCTTCCACGAGTATCCTTTTGGGAACGACCAAAGCATTCTTTTAAGATTTATTACAGAAGTTGAGCACATTACTTATTCCTTATGTGCCTTCTGAACCGATAGTCCCTTGAATGTAGACATTTTTTCGTTTCCTTTTCGTTTGCTTTAATGAAATTATTAGTGATTTACCATGATTGTGATCTATCAGATCAATTTAAAATATCTCAAATTTTATTTTGCTTTTTCTATTTATTCTTTTTAGTACCATATTGATGCTATCGATTAATTAATTATGTACTAGCTGTGTCCGTGGCATCATCCACATATCTGTAAATATATGATGTATACTGTAATTGCAAAATTATTCATAACATAAGAAAAAGCAAGTAACAAAGTAAAAAAATAATGGAAGCAAATTTATACATATATAGCTATGCCCGCGGTATATTTTAATATAACATATAGCCTATGTGTTATTCTGATGCTATATTACTGTAAAGTTTCATCAAAATCTATTCAGTAGCTTTTATGTAGAAGAGTATCAAACATCTATATACCCATCCATACTCCCAAACTTTCCCGTCTATTACATTAAAGTTTTCTTTTGCGACGTGTACCATTAAACAGAAATGTTAGCACTTTAATGGTTGAAAAGCCGGATTGTCATCCCGAAGGTGGCAACACCACCCACCACCACCATTCTTCACTTACTATAAATGTCATGCACAACCAATTTGTACAAAATTCTAAAATTAAATATTCTTGTGTTCAAAAAGAAATTTTTGTATTACGCAGTGTATCATCATAATAAGAAATAATAATAAACAAGAAATATATATTTTTTTATTATTATTGTTTTCTTTTATTTTTTATTTAGGATTACCAACAATGGTTACAATCATATTTAATTACATGTAATGGGTTATGGTCTGATTGTACAATTATTTATAGGTGAAAACGGTATGCAAAATAGTATTTCAAAATTATATAAAAAGAACAAATAAAAATTAATTTAACTGTTTCATTTATATTATGAACTATGCTTATTATATATTTATTCAAATAAAACTTCACAGTAATCGCTTTTGAATGGTAAATTTTTACCACAATTAATTAAGAAAAATAGGTAAGAATGCACCAAAACATTTTGTGTGGGACTCTATATAGATTGCTGGGGTGGGTGCAGCCAACGATGGTGGTAATTAAAGATGCAATATGTAAAAGAATAGTATATTATAAAATATATGTCGTAACAAACTATATGAAAACAAGAGCAATAGAAGGAATAAAAAAACCATAGCAACCGATATAAAATATAAAATTTTAAAAATAAAGAATAGTCGTACTAGCCAGAGGCGTAAGGAGTCCTGTACACATATTTGTATTTAAAAAAAAAATGGACTACAATTATTTATATTATAATAATTTAATAATACTTATTTAATTTATTACTAGTATTTATATAACCTAATTATTTATTCACTTACAGTGTACAAATAGACAACGTTATTGCCTATGTTTTTAGCAATAGGCAATACTGAGATTTTCCTATCCAAAGCTTTAAGTATTCTACGCAACAACTCAATAAGTCTGTCTTAATCAATAAGTGCAAACGTGAGATACAATAAATTTGCTATAACATCGTCGTATCTTAATTTTACATGTGTTTTTTATGTAAGATAAGTATTGCTGTTACCAGTTATACAAGTATACTGTATATATATATAAATATTTACAAGTTCTTGTGGATACATTAAATTTATTTTGTATTTCGTTTATTTTCAGGTAAAAATATTTCAATATTTGCGTGAAATCATAATATAAATTGGAATTGTCGGTTCTTTTATTCCCGAAAACGTTGTAATTTGCAGATTTTTGCGCTTTACATCCGATGGTCGTGGGTTCGATTCCTCGCACGATGCAAACATTTGCGTTCATGGGTATGTTTGTTTGTATC